CGGGGTGATCCGGAATTGTCCTGAGGGGCCCTGAATGAGCGTGTTGTTAGATATGTACTTGCAGGTGATGCAGCGAGCTCTGTTAAAGGGGAAGGTGAACAAGAAGTTTACGTAGATTGGGTGGTTGGCGATAAGAGATAATTGGGTGGTCGGGGAAAAAAGGGTACCGATGGAGGGATTGTCCTGTAAAATGGAGTCGTTTTAATAATGGTCTGTTAGGGTGGTAAGGAATACATACCACTAAATACTGTATGCATTTTGGTGTGCAAGATACCCTGTTTTTAATAGTGCACTATACAATGTTACAGTTCACTTAGGCCAGTGTTGCCCATTTCTGGTCTGCTGGCCTCCTAATTGATTCCTTTAATTTATTTCATAACTTATCTAGACTTGTGGATTGCTGGATTCTACACTATGTCCTACGCTAGTCAGGGAGCTTCAGAAATGCCCTCCTTCAAGCATATTGTATCCAGCAGCTTCAGCATACAAAGTCTCTCCTCAAACTACCCTTATTTCTTGCTAAGAATGACGATGTATCAAACAAGAGTTAATGTTTTCAATTTTGCAGAGAAACCACAGTTATACTTCAGGCAGCATACCTGAATGTGGGGGACCCCTGACACTCAGAAATCGGTGCAGGGTTGATACCAATTCCAAATCTGAATACTTTTTAAAATATGCACTAGCACGTCATTGCAGAAATGAAATATGTATGCTGCAAACGCAATACATATTGAATCAGTCAGAAGATGGAATGGCAGTAAAACAGCCGATTTGAAACTAGTCTGATGTGTTGACAGTTGTTCCAAAATGGTGCACCAATGTGATGACATTGTTTGAATTAGAATTAAAAACATTCAAAATAGCCTTTTGAGTTAGTCATGTTGGTTTTTTTTCCTAGAATCACAATCCTTGTGAACAGAGGCTATGTCCCCAGACAGAAGATTAATCCAGAAACACGGCAGAAAGGACAGGTATGAGTTCAGCACTCTGGCCCATTTCAGAAACATTGGAATAAACCGATTTTAAGGATTCGAAAATATTCCAAATCAAGAATAAGAAATAGTTTTAAATGAAATCACCTTGTTCCTACAAAAAGTGTTGAAGCTGGTGCAGAAAAGTGATTTAATTTAAAGTTGCAGGTTCTTTTTTGTTAAGAAGTGTGGCGTTTTACAGCACATGTTACTGAACAAAAATGCTTCAGTTTTACATGGTTAGCAGAGTAATCCAATCTTAAAATTCGTCAGATTAAAGTTTTTTTACACGGATTTTGATCAGTATGTTCTTCCAGTCACTGCAGTGGTTTAAGCGTTTCAAGCTCTTTAAGAGCGACATGCTCTTTTGGAATTCTGTCTCTCTCCTGTTCAGGCTGTTCTGTTGTCTGTAGATTGACACGGAGGTGGAACTGGTTGGTGTGGTGAGACTGACTGAGCCTCGCAAACCCTTTATTCCTCACAATGATATTGATGGGAACCGCTGGCATTACCGTGACATAGAGGCCATGGCTGAAGTCGCTGGGACAGAGCCCATTTTCATTGATGCCGACTTTGGTGAGGTCTCATAAATACTAGAGGGATAGAATCTGCTTTGTTTATGTCTTTTTATAATGTAGGGCTTTTGGAAAAAAATCATCGTCCTATTACATGGTCGAATGCAAGAATGTTTATTTGTTAAATTTGTAGTGTCAAACAAATTACAAAGTTCAGGTGTCTGTGAAGCAGAAGTCTCTTTATTCATATGCATATGGAAGTCCGGCTTGCAACCACCAGACTTAAAAAATAAGTAGCTGAAGATGGTCCTTTATACCTTAAAACACAAAGACTTACAATGACATATTCTAAACAAATGATAAGACAGCAACATATGCCAATTAATTATATCTAAGTTGCAAACTAGACAACAGTTCTTTTCATGTTCTGGGCGTATAGCCAGCTTACCAAATACATGCCCCTTATCTTACTGACCAAGGACAGACAGCATCTTTATATATATATTTGAGCACAAAGCCTACGTCAAGCCACTAGACTGCATAGTTTGCAAAAAAATACAAAAATAAGAAATTATATTATTATCTCACTTCCTGGGCAGCTCTCTTATCTTCAAATGTCATGGAATATTTCAACACTGTCCATTTTGCTCGTCTGTCTTTGTGTACTTAGTAATTGGATAGTTGTAATAGGCAGTTGTGTTAACAGTGGTTTTACAGTGTCTGCTAAAGCTATACTTCTGTATCTCACAGTCAGCACAGTCCCAGGAGGACCTATTGGAGGGCAGACTCGAGTCACCTTGAGGAATGAGCACATGCAGTACATCATTACATGGTAAGGACAGCTGGGAAGGCTGCAAGCGTTCAATTTTACAGGTGGACAAAGGTAAAAGCAATTATGGCCTTAAAATGATACAGTTCTGGAAATGAAGGACTGGGGTCAAGGTCCAAGAAAGAATCAGATTTAAAGGAATGCCCAGAGGCTGTTCAGTAATGCTAGATTAAACATCATGTGTTGATTAAATGGAAAAGACAACAGCAGCCCACACTATTCAATAATACAACCTGCCAAGTTATCTTTTCATGTATCAAAAATGTCTGAATACCTTACCTAATAATTCAAACAACTTGTGGACAACCCAAGTGGCTTGGAACACTAATATCTGAAAATATTTACAAGTAAAAGGTCTTCTTTCCTTGCTAGGTATGGTCTTTGCATAGCTACGTCTTACATGTGGTATAGCAAATTCATCAGAAGAGTACCACTGTAAGATTTGGAAACACCTGGATGGATGTCATACTCTCATTCTGCATTCTTTTGGTCAGAAAACTGTTCATTTATACATGGTCATATCTTGAATGTAGTTATCTACAATATCTGTTCCAAGTTTTTCAGAATTCTTTCAAATAAAATTAGCATCAAAAGATTATGAACTGCCTTCATTTTTTATTGGCATCTGCATTTGGTCCTTGCAGGCCACAATCTGGCCTTCAGAAGAAATTAAAACACCACCGTACTATAATAGTGTACACCTTTGTGTTGCCTTTCACAGCTGAATGCTTTTTGGGGACCTCATCTCAGACTAAAATGACAAAATTAGGAACAAAGCACTTGCTACACCTTGATACATGTAACATTTCTCCAAGTATGTTTTTAATTAAGATAGTGTCTGTATAAACCTGGATTCAAATTAATACTCCACAAGGAATGTAAAACTGCACCATGTCAGAGAACTATCTTGAATTCAGAGAAACAGAATTGACTATTATAAAGGCTGCAGTCAATATTAAAAACTAAAATTAAGTTTTAGGATGATATGCAAAGATGATCCGAGTCTATATAATTAAGTCACTGAAAGGTGAAAAAAGGAGCCGAGAACCACTGAGTGGATAATTATTTCTTGGGCAAAGAAAGCAGGTGACTGACATTAAGGTACTAATCTTGCATTGGCATCGGTATAATAGTTGGCAAACAAGGTTCATACATCCTTAATGAATCCTGACATATGGTTAAGCATTTGATTAGACACTACATGTCAGTTGTACATCATGAATTTTCAATAAGGCTGAAGCAAGCAGATTTTTTTTCCAGAGTTTTATTTTATATACACAACAGGGAACCTCAAGCATTGTGTATTTAACCAAGCTTGGTGGCCAGTTCCTTGGCTTTAGCCTTCTCAAGCTTGGCGATGCGAGCGGTGGACTTGGGGCCCATGATACCGCCTCCCCAGTGACGGCGGATCTGCAAGAGAAACAACTTTGTCGGTCAGTCTGGCGAGAAAGAAGCCGAGTGAAGAAATAACCTTTTCTTCAATTCAAAATGAAAACAGGCCCCGCAGAGATGCCCGAGATGTTAAATGAACCAGACAAAAAGTGGATTAGAACACAGGGAATGACTTGCATTAGAATTTCTTTTTCAGATGGAATGTTGTATAGTTCTGCTTTAACAAACAACCAAAATCCAGTCTTACCTCCTCATATCTGTCATTGTAGTTAGTCTTGACAGCTTCCACCAGCTTAGCCAGGGCACCCTTGTCCTCACTGTAGAAGAATTATAGATTACTGATCACGTAAAGAAAGGTACACAAATCCCCAATTCAAACAGTTGAAACCTCCTGCTCAGGGTTAAAAAGCTCATATATAGCTACACGGTGCTTCAGCTGAAGAAATTCAAACATCATTGCCAGGAGGTTATTCATGTTCCCAGATCCCCCATGAACCCTTTGTGCACTGTTTAGATTTTTGATATCCTGTGAATTGTCTTTGAATTGATTTGAGGCCAATCATGATCGCCTTCATTACAGAAAACGTTTAATTCCTTCAGTGTCACAGCAAATTAAAACAAGGGTTACATCACTGTTCAGAGCACAAACAGGAGATCTCAAATTGTAACTATTTGCAGTTCCTCTATCAAATACGTTGCCGTGGTGCTCATGTAGCCAAATCCGAATTTCAGGTTAACTACCTTCCTTTAGTGTCATGAAGCTCCAGTTATCTAAACCGGATTAAATGGTTGGTGCATTTATTACCCGCCAGAAGGAAAACATGCTGAAGCAACACACCATAAATCACGAGACAGATACATAAAGTTGATGTATGAATTTAAAAGTTGACTCATCGCTTTGATAAATGTCAACTAACACTTCATTCCAAGAGGAATACAAAAATCACTGTAGAAATACTGTAACACATTGCTAATCAACACAAAATTAGATATCGGTCTAGTACACGGCCAGATTCATCAGCATCCACTAAGCATAGCCAAAATGAATTCAGCAATAACACCTGAATCAACTGACAACCCTTATTAAAAAGCTCAAACCTTTGCTCAGCACAAATAAAAATAAAAGACTGGTTCAATGCCAAATGTTATGTGAATTACATTCTCAGGCCTGCACTGATGAATAAGTACATCAGAAACATGTCTAAACTAGGTGCCAGCATATACATAGAAATAAAAATTCTACCACAAATCCCCAGTATAACCTTTCAATCATTAGAAAAGTACATTTTTTCAAAGTTTTCAATCTGCTCTAGTCTGAATGACTTTTCCAAAAACTGAAAAACCCCTCACTCCCTATTTTAAACTCAATGTTTTGGAAGCCAAGGGTGCATCTCCATATCCTTTCAATCTGTAAGAACTTTCAAACTTGCAGGAATATACACCACTCCTTCTAAACCCAAAAGGCAGAAACCTGAAGCTAACATCATTTTGAGGAGAAGCTCAGAATATGAAAACACATCAAAGCCTATTCTGTAAACACAAGGGCACAGGGCAGTGAACAGGTTTGTAGTTTATCACAGAGCCACAGAGATCCAATTCACAGAGCTGTCCATCAAATCTAGCAGGAAACTGGCAAAGGAAACAAAATGCAAGTTTAACCGAGATGCCAAAAGCCAGAAATGAACCCATGACCCTGGAGCGTTAAAGAAGCAGTTACCTGTCACACCACACCACCACTCCAATCAAAAGTTTTAACAGTAGTCACACATTGGTTAATCTGCCGAGATGAAGGACTAGTATTTGAATTCCAGGCAAAAAATACACCAAAGATTTCAGATTAGTAGGGATAATATAGAATAGATACAAACTGTCCTCATTTTCACTCTAAAACGATCGTGCAGTCAAATCCCAGCACTGAAATAAACCATAGCCACTATTTAATCCCAGAAATTCATTTTTGTTCCATACTTACGGGTTGATCTGTGTGAAGGCAATGCAGGTGCAGGTCTTCCTGTGCACCAGCCGACCCAGTCTGGCTTTGCCCTTGACGATGCAGTATGGGACGCCCATCTTCCGGCACAGCGCAGGAAGGAACACCACCAGCTGCAAATCCCAAACCCAGTCAAGGTTAACAGGAAAACCGCTTCTGAGGTAGCTTGATAAAAGTAAGACACTTCAGGAATAGCCCTAAACTTTATGGCTGTTACTCAGGGTTAAAAAGCTCGTGTTTAATCTTCATTGAGAATCAGGTGAAGAAATTCAAAACATCATTGTAACAGCCAAACATTTTCTAGAAACATGAGCTGCAGGTGCACACACCCCTTATCCCTTTATCTGTGAGCTGCTTTAAAGGAGCACGGTTGAAAAAGCGACATTTAATGAATAACCTGAATGCTATTTAAACTCTTTACCTCAATAGGATCCACATCATGAGCAATGACAACCAGCTGGGCCTTCTTGCTTTCCACCAGAGTTGTGACCGTGTTCACACCTGTGACGACAACAGCTTGTCAAATTCCTAATCTTAAGAAATCTGAACAAATCTCCAAGGCCCGACAAAAGGAATATGGCTGTGCACCCAGAAGCTGTCAATAGTTAACCCTTAAAAGTGAAGTAGGAAGCCAGTACTGTGGCTTCTTTCAAAACAACCTGGATGAGGTCCTTGGATCAACTACCAGCTACCTAACAGGATAGATGAGCTGAATCTTGTCACACATTCATGTAGGTATATGTAACATTCATCTTGGGCTGGTGCTTAACAACTCCTAAGGAGTGTCTGTCCATACTGTTTCTGTTTGAGTATCTCCAGTCAAATATGACAAATGACACACACAAGTGCATTAATCTAACCAGTCATTTAAAATGACAGGAAATAGCACTTTAGTTCACCTACATATGGAACAAAAAAGGCAATTTACATATGCAAACCCATCGTTTAATCCCAGATGTCAATGAGAAATGTCTACAATTTAAGACATTGCCTCCTTTGGCATGAACTTTGAAGACATTTGGCCTTTATACTGCTTACTATGTGGCCATCGTCACCAAATAAGACATATAACCCTAAATGAAGTTTATTACTCTTTTTACATAGCACTGCACTACTTTGTCACACAGTAACAACATTTTTCCTTCCATGGTAGTACATTCACAGCAGCTCTTCCAGAACTAGGTATGAGAAGTGCAATGTTTTATCACTGGTAATACTGCCCATCACTACTGTGAGAATATGTACAACCTTTTAATTTTGGCCAATGCTCAGGGTTAAAAAGCTCAATTGACTCTACATTTAGGTTTCAGATCAAGATCTTCATCATTGCATCAGCCAAAAACCAACAACTAATACAACAGAGAAACCAAAATCTACCTCACGTTTATGTGAGCTCACACGAGAGACAAATTCAGAATTGTATATTTAGAAATCCTCCAAAAATGCCACTAAAACCTTTTCATGAATACCACTAAAAAAAACACCACCTATGAAAATAGATGCTGTTTAACTGTCTTTTCCCCCCATGACTTGGAAGAACGATACAAGGTCAGCAGGCCCATAACCTCACCTGCTCTGAGAACTGGGGGCCTCTTGGTTGGGGTGTCTCCTTTGCCTGCAGCCTTCTGCTCAGCCCTTGCCAGCAGCCTCTGCTTCTTCTCCTGCTTGGTCTCAGGCCTGTATTTGTGGGCCAGCTTGAAGAGCTGGGTGGCTGAAATGCACAGCAATGGTCACTCAGCTGTTGGAACCGTTAAAGACAACCTTAAAGTAGAAGACTTTATGCTTCAAGAATAGCAAATTCCAGTGTATAACCAGTACAAAGCAAGCTAAAGTTATGACACTAAAACATAAGGGTGGATTCCTTTGGCCACAGTAAGACCAATGGACATTGGAGAGAAGGGCAGGGTGCATCAGCGATCTTGGTGGGTATATCAGCACGCAGTACTCTGATAGCAAATATTATAACATCACCTGCACAGCCCGACTGCAAACACTACCCAAGTTAAATCTCGGCATCTGTTTTTATTCAATAGTTATGTGCTCCTAGGTGCTATGCTACCCTTTCAACGGCAAGGCAGTCTTACAGTAGGTTCACCTGGAATTAAGGATGAAAATCAGGCTGCCACACGGAGTGGACACGGAGGACGTACCCGTCTGGCGGTCCAAAGCCTGGGTGAACTGGTTGATCGCGGGTGGCACCTTCAGACGCTTGTACAAGATGGACCGCTGACGCTGCAGCCTGATGTAGCGAGGCCATTTCACGAAGCGCGTGAGGTCCCGCTTGGGCTGGATATCCTGACCTGTACGGATGGGAAAGACGATTTAAGACTGACCGAAACCCGCTTATTAAAGCGCAACGGGGGAACAAGTGCATCAGAGATCTTGGTGGAAAGTTGTCGGCATTGCTTTCTAAGATAGCAAATATTCATTACATCATCTGCACAAGGTCGTCCACAGGGCTGAGACAATGAAGAGAGCGCCGGTACTGTAACTTCAAACCATGTGCCATCAACTCCAAAGAAAATTCAGAACTGAACACACCTCAAGAGTGGTGACATATGGGTTAAGCCAGCTTATCAATTCATCAGAATTGTGCTCTAAACAACCCCAGAGCACAGCCTGACTAGTTAAATTCAGTTTTTACCAAGGACAGCCCAACAGACAGAAAGGATTATGCTATTTTCAAAGGGGGGCGAGACTCACCGATGCCAAAGTTCTTGGGCCGCTTCTCGAACAGGGGATTCACCACTTTCTTGGCCTCCTGTTTCTTGGCCACGGAAGGGGCAGGTGCCACCTTCTTACCCTTAGCCTTCTTCCCCTTCGGCTGCGAGGACACAGGAGAGCCACACTTTAATCAGACCGCGACTACACAAAGCTGCAGATTCTCCACACCAGTCTGTATATTGAGGGCAGTATTGGTCAAACTATTTTCCGGACTTCAACTTCCATACAAGATCGGAATCAAAGCGCCTTACTTTCGAGACCCACGATGTGGCCCTGTCCCACCACAGTATTATGGGTTTGGGATATCTCTCATCGTTGTCCAGTTAAAAATGTTTTGATCTCCACAGGCCAAGTGAGAAATGTTCACTAGCACTTATGACCCGGTAAAAGCACTACTCCCGCCCTGTATGGTGGGGTCACCTGTAGAAACGCGGCTGGTGCTCAGGGTTAAAAAGCTCGTGATTTTTTGCTCAACACTCAAGTTTCAGGTGAAGAAATTCAGACATCATCGCATCAGCCATTAGCGTTTCCGTCATGCTTCTACCGCGGTGTAACTAGACAATAACGACCAACACACTTTCTACAAATCTGCACACGTTAGGAAAAAGCTCCACATACACAGTTTCAGAAATGAAATCAACTGTTAGGATCGCACAGCTTTTCAGTATTTCTGTGGATTTTTATCGGACACATGTGAAACCTGAACGCATCCACACGTGAAGGCCTGGTCTTGTCACTGCTAACGAGAGTCCTGTTTGGTCAAATAATCACGAAAAAGTGACCCCAAAAAGCTAATTACGACTAAAAACCCTTAAAAGCAACCACAAAACGATTTCACATATCCTCCACAATACAAAAAACAACTATTAAAAAGCTAATCGACATGGCCCAAAAGCAAGTATACCAAGTTATTAAAAATGCTTTCCCCCAAAAAAGTTCTCCATCTATCGCATTTTCAGGTATCATCGATTCTGTTGGTCTTTACTAATCGGAAAAATTGTCAGAACTGCAATTTATCTAATTTTTAGGGGGGCTTCTGCTCATTGGGGAACACACAAAATTCTGTTAAACATAATAGAATTGTATATCGCACTTTTCGTAAAACTATGCACTTATAGGGAAAGGAGAACTTGAACACAACACATTCGTCTTAAATTCTGCATGATTTAACGCTTAAGTAAACTGATGTTATAAGATATAAAAAGCAATGATTCTCCCCGATTCAAGATGACGGAACACTCACCATGTTGGATCAGAGAGAAAGGAAGAAGGGAGCATTGTGGGAAATATAAGTATCGGACACAAAACAACGCGAGATTACGGCTCCACACCATTACGTCACACTGTCGCTAACCCACTCGATTGGCAGTTACTTTTTAATTGCAACAACGAAAAAATACAAATACAAACGAGTACATATAACATTTCAATAACATCGTCAGGGGTACATACTGTAACACAACTGCACTTTACAAAAAAAAAGATTAAACAGGGTAAATAATGATTAGGTCCGCACTGCTTTCATATTCCTACATTTAGAATGTCTATACGTCTATTTTAAACTTCAAATACGGATCTCACTTTATGCATAGTGAGTATACTAACTAACGTACAAATACCTATTATTTTAAATGATTATGATTTCAATAATTATGTTACAATTTAACATAACATCTCTTTCTTAAAAAGTAATGTCAATATTAGACTCTGTCTTTATAAATCTGTGCAGATCAATCCAGAATGTTTTAACAACAGACCATAACCAAAATATATGGTGTAAAGTTTCAGGTCTACTTTCACAAAAATACTCTGTTATCATTTATATTAATTGTAAAATATGCACAACAACGCTCTTTACGGGGGAAATTCGATGAACGGTTTTATGCGTTACCCCCTTAACCTCATTAGTTATACAATATTTGATATCACCCACATTTTATTCCAATCGATTAGTCTCCCAAATGAGGTGGTACAAAATAGTTTCAACTTGCAAAAGGGATCTTAAAAGAGGTGATACTTCTCTAGGGATCACATTGGTTACAGTCAAGTATTGATCAGACTTAATAGAATAGAATATCTCTTCACAAAGTTAGTATAATTATATATTTCACCATCAACATTAAAAAATTGCTTTACCCATATGATACCACTTTCTACCCATTTGTCAAAGAACAAGGTTTAATTTCTAACTTTTATATATCTGTTATTCCAGATGGTATGTGGGGAAAAATAAGGTTACAAAAAAACAAACAAGGAAAAAAGAAAAGCCTAAGGAAACCGGAAAAGTTCAACAAAAATTGAAGAAAAAACCCAAAAACCCCAACTCCTGAAAAAATAAAATAAGAAAAAAAAAAGAAAACAAAAAACATGCTTATTTTTTCAAATAATTCTGCATCCATTTTATCTTAAAAATATTATTAGATGTTCTAAAATCTAAAGCGTTTATTCTTCCAGATAAACTTAAAAAGTTTAGAATCAGTCCTTCTAATAATATTTGAAGGTGGTATATCCAAGATAAATGGTTCAACCATTTAAAAAAAGGTCTCTCAACAGCCATGAGATAATTGGCATTTGCTGTAAACGTGCATCAGCATATACATATAAATGATTACACATCATGACTCAGAAACAACTCTTTCTCATTACCATAACTAAGTTAAGAAAGTTCTACACACAGTTAAATTTAACCAGAATTAATCAACTCTCCTCTTTCATAAACATGGGACATTATTAGTTGTATTTTTTAACAAGAAAATTATCCTTTTTACATTTTAATATTCACTGAACATATTTTTAAACAGTTCATTTGCAATGCAGTGCAGATCAGTATTCTTACATTCCTATTATAGTAGCATGAATAAATGCTTGTATTTTGCTGGCGTTTTGTAAATAGCATATAAATCATATAAAAAATGTAACCATCTTTTCTCAGATCAAGAAACATCCAATCTGATTACCGCTTTCTCGTTTTTTATATCAGAGTTTCCGAGAGACCTTGGCAGACCCCAGAAACAAACATTAAGAGCTTCAAGAGTGCTTACGTTTGGTTAATCTACAGTTCGGGTTTTAATGTTTTCAAATGAACAAAAGAATTGTGCAAACATTAATTCCCAGTTCATGTTGAAGTTTTACGAGCTGCTATTTGAACGCGAGCTCTCAAAGACGGGTCACAGCGCAGACGAACCTATCAGAGAGAAATATACGGGTTTCCGGTTGAAAAGCCAATCACAAAAGGTTGTGGGAGGGGATTAAGGTGTAGGACGTTAGGTTGTGCTGTAATGTATTAACGGCAGTATTGAAATGAGGTAGTCGGAAGTAAGTATTGTTAGTTGTAATTTATTTTGTAATTGAAAAGTATGTTGCATGAACACACCTTTCGTTTAAATTATATTTGGGAAATAAAGGATGTGAATAAACGGAATGTTTAAGCGTTACTTAAAAAGGATCTTAATAGTGGTAAACCACTAAGAAAATACGACTGATTATATGGATTCATTTGATATTATTAAGTATAAACAAGATTATGTAAAAATGTTTGCAACCTTTTTATGCAACTTTGAATATAAATTAACTTGACACCATAAAAGTAGACGTTTTAACCTGACTTCAAAATTCTATTCAATGGTTATTAGTCAGTACTCTTGAAAACATCACTACATGAGATATCACTTTCCTATTTTAAAACGGCATTGCAACGGTTTTTGTTATTTCACAGTACCTTCAATTAATCTGGGATTTTGAGAGTTTGTTTTTCTTTTTTCATAATAATACATTTTCCGTGAAACATTGTGAAGTGGCTGAAGATAAATCTGGGCTTTTATACTGATGTGTGGTCTCTGACCTGTTTTGTTTTGGTAATGTTGTGGTAGGACAAGATGTCTACACAAAGAGTCCTTCCTCAAAGTAAAGAAACGCTTCTGCAGTCGTACAACAAAAGACTGAAAGATGATATCCGATCCATATTGGACAATTTCACAGAGATCATAAAAACAGCCAAGGTAGGGGGTCATCATGGTTAACTGTTTTTTTGTGTGCAACTTTTAGTAGCCTGCTGTCGTAATCGGTAATCATTTAATAATTGAATTATTGTTCTTATATCCAGATTGAGGATGAGACCCAGGTTTCACGAGCAACGCAAGGAGAGCAAGATCATTATGAGATGCATGTCAGAGCAGCTAACATTGTGAGTAACTGAGCTCCAGGGATGTCAAATCTATTTCGGTCCTGTAAAATACAGTCTGTGTCCTTATAATAATAATAATAATAATAATAATAATAATAAGAATTTCTTACACTTATATAGAGCTTTTCTGGACACTCCACTCAAAGCGCTTTACAGGTAATGGGGACTCCCCTCCACCACCACCAATGTGCAGCATCCACCTGGATGATGCGACGGCAGCCGTAGTGCGCCAGAACACTCACCACACATCAGCTATCAGTGGGGAGGAGAGCAGAGTAATGAAGCCAATTCATAGAGGGGGATTATTAGGAGGCCGTGATTGGTAAGGGCCAATAGGAAATTTGGCCAGGATGCCGGGGTTACACCCCTACTCTTTTCGAGAAACACCCTGGGATTTTTAATGTCCACAGAGAGTCAGGACCTCGGTTTTACGTCTCATCCAAAGGACGGCATTATTAAGGCAAGGTGGAATGAATTGGTCTGCCAAGCAAAACAGGTTGTTGAACATGCTTTTACACCTTAAAAAGTCTCATACAAAACCAAAGGAAAGCAATCCTGCAACAAAATTGTCCTGCAGTTAAAAATGTGATGATTTTGTTATTGGTGAAAATGTGTGGATATGTAATATATTTGCAGAATATAGTATATTGTGGTGTGGCTGTTGATTTCCAGTTTGTAGTAAGCAAGAAAAAAAACAGACTGGTATGCCCATTACTAATAACCATTGCAGGTAAGAGTCAGAGTTATAGGACAGTATTATTTACAGCTATTATTTTGCATATGATGTCACTATGCTGAGAGAAAAGTTGGACCTTTCATGTTAAAAAAACATTGGTTGTGGTTTTTCCTCTTACTGCAGAAGAATCATAGTAGCATTGTCCCTGATTTTAAATCTTATCCAGTAGGAGCCAGTGTTCACAAACTCAGCTCTGTGTGTCTATATCTCCTGCCGGTGTGTGTGCGTGAAGGTCCGAGCTGGAGAGTCGCTGATGAAGCTGGTGTCCGACCTCAAGCAGTTCCTGATCCTGAACGACTTCCCCTCCGTGAACGAGGCCATCAACCAGAGCAACCAGCAGCTGCGGTCCCTGCAGGAGGAGTGCGATAAGAAACTGACCTCCCTGCGGGATGAGATTGCAATTGACCTGTACGAGCTTGAGGAAGAATATTACTCCTCCAGGTACAAATAGGTTCATAGTTACTCTCACCATACACGTCTCTGCCCTACGCATTTATAACTAGCGCCTTAAGTGCCTTTGGCCGTTAGCTGGAGTGCTGGAACTCCTTTTCTTTAATCTAAGAAACTTTACTATACTTTATAATATCATGTGCCTTGTTCAACAATCCTAAAACCCCAATGGTAAAAGAACAATTACTCTCTCCTCATTTTGCCTCTTGAAAACGATGCGTACAAGATAATGTAGGTGACTATTTTATCTGGAAAAAAATACTAAGCTGCAAGACTATAAAAGTGAAATGAGAGAAGTTCGCCCTTGGTTCCTTCAGCATACTACAAAATAAATAGCAGTGTAGTAATTTATGTTGTGTGTCAAATGTGTCCTAGAATCCAATGTGTTGTTTCCTATATTTACACCTCAAGTGCTTTACAGAGAACAAAAAAGTAGGTTGCAATTTCTACTAAAGTGTATTTTCCTTGTAATTATGCTAAAGAGATGATATTATTTTGAAGCACTTTTTAGTCTTCGTTGATTTTGCACAAGGATGATTGTGATTGGAGTATGTTGTTTTTTTAAGCAACAAAATAAGTGGTTTAATTTGCCCATAAAAGTATCCACTCAAAAAGTGAATTGTTTCTAAATCTAGAAGCAATTCGACTAAAGATGTTTTTTACATTTGCAGAATTATAATTAGCTCCTTAATTTTTATGATCAGTCTGCATGGAAATGGACTTTTTATGTTGCCAGGCCCACGATTTGATTAAACTTTTTATTTTTGTTATTTTAAATAAATTCTAAAATCAATAAACACAGGACAAGAGTAAAACCATACAGAGATTAGGTACACAGTTGTTTGGTTCAGCTATGTTACTTATAAATCGTGGAGATTTCGTGTTTTCTTTTAGCAGAATGTTCAGAAAGTATGCATGTGGATATCTACAATGGTTTTGGATGTGAAAAAATATTTGTACAATATATCTTATTGCAACGCGTTTTGCGAAATTTTCTTATTGGGCAAAAACTATTTCTTTAATTTAATCCTGTATAGGAACTTCATATCTACATTAAATATTTGTTTAACGTGTTCTCTGATACTTCATGTTATATGATATGGTCAAGGATACGTTTACATACTGTATGTTACCTGTATGTCCTATATGTAAAATGCTTTAGGATAAAAAGCACTATATATAGTAAATGCAAGGAATTATTCTTGTAGCTAAAGATTTTATTATTTTTACTTTCAATAATAAGTGTTGGTATTTTAATTAATTGTTCTGCACACCTCTAGTTGAATGATAGTAACAGGCTCAAAGATCTACAATATCTAAGAATTTAGCAATGATGTTTATGCCCTGAACTGCAGGTTCTTATCCCAAAATCTGAGAGGGATCTGGGACAGCATGTTTCATATAAACACACTAAAATGGTAGTGCAAATGACTTTCAAAGTAATGAAGTTCTCAACATTACACTAAAATGCATCTTTATTATATGGTTTAATGTAACCTGTTTATGTAGTTTTACTTTTACTCTTAAAAATTCTGGAAAAAATAAAGTAGAACAATGGGTCCCTCACTTTTTAGTCGTTTTTTTCCCCCCATCAGAAAGATTTTAACATTACTTCTTGGTTAATACCTCTGTACGGTTACTTTTCTCCTCTTTTTATTTATGTATTTCCCCAGAGCTCTGTCAGGTTTGTCTGCATGGGAATGTTATCTAAAACATTTGAATGTTTGAGTCTGACTGCATTTTTATGAAATCCAAGCCACACATTTTTGGAATAACACAATGAGATTATCAGTTAGATTTAGATTTAAATTAATGATGTATTAAACGTAGGAAATCCCTATGTCTGCAAACTTAAAAACATTTGTGTGCATTTATTTATAGAACATGCTTTTCCAACATCATTTCTAGTTTAAAATACTTATATTGCTTGAGTGAATAGGTTCAAATTTGAGCGTTTTACTAAGGAAAGAGTTGAAACACTCCTCAACTAAACATTCAGTTCTATAGTTTCTCCATTCCCCAACAAGGGTATTTAGACATTTTCAGTATTTGGGTAGAAAAATTATGTTCTAGAATTGCTTTTAAATTAAATGCAAGTGAACTGTGAGAGCTTTCCAAGTGATATTAGATTATACATTTAAGTGCATTTACAAACTCGTTGAAGTGCGTATTAAACAGTTATGGAAATGTTCCCAGAAACCTTGTGTGACATGTCAGAAAATTGTCTTCTATATCAACATCGGAACCAGTCAGTGTAAGGCAGTAGTTTTAACTTTAAATCAGCTAATTAGTTGATAACTAGATAGAACTTTATTCTGAATTGCTTTACTAATTTTAAAGAAGTTGTTTTTTTGGGAGAAAATGAGCTATGAAGTGTCTAAATATATATAGGTAAATGGCACACAGCTAACAATTCCCTGATTTGTACATTGAAGTTATAATGCTGTTTTTCCACACTTATTAATTATACGAGCCTCAGAACAAAACTCAATTCAACCCTTTTAGGTAAACAATTCTGTAGATTTTTTTTTATTAAGGTTTTCCAAAGTTTCAGCTCTGATCACGGGGAAAGTCTTCCTATGCTGGTGACTGTTTGCCTATCGCCTCCTTTCCCTCTGTGCGTCTGTCTGGACCCCTCTGTGCTCATTCTGTGCCTGGGTTTTTGTTCTGGAAAGCTACAGTCAGTGGGACAGCACCGACCTGCCCCTGTGCGAGGCATTCCGGAGGCAGGACAGCCCGAGCTCCCCGGATGGGACTTCGGGATCTTCAGGCTCGGGAATTGCTGGGAGAGCCGAGGATGGCAGTGGAGCGGCGTCACAGGGGTCCACACCAGGCCACCTGAACGGGCACACAGCGGGCACCTCTGAGCACCCCTGAGGAGCTGGCGTGACGCAGTTCTGCTGGACGCTCTCCTGATTCCACCAGTAGTGTTAAGACGCAGCCAATCATGTGTATCGATTTACTGTACATGACCCTGACCCCATTATTAACAATGCTGACAAATACAGGGCTCGTTGATTAGTCTTCCTGTTTGTGTAGTTCCAGTTGTGTAGGGGATTATATTGTAGTATTGTATTTTTGTTCTCTAAATGTACATGTGGGAGCAAGCTGATCTGAGCCTAAACAGTTGTGATAAGCTGCCTATGCAGGCTGTTTTATGGTTCACAATACTTGACGCAGGAAATAAAATCACATGGGATAGAAATCCCAATAGGGAAGTGTTGCTTTCTGGGTCTTGTCTGCATTGTGTGTAAGATGTAAACTTTATTTTTTATCAACATTAAAGTGTTGGTTGCACACTCCCACTCCAGTTATGCATAATTTGCTTGGATTTGTAGGATTGTAAGTTTATAAGTACACAGGGAGCAAGATTTCAGATGTAGGAAGACTTCTCAGAAACTCTTCTCAGGAAGCAGTATTAAAGAGCTTAAATGGCATTATGAACATATCATTGCACTGGATTTATAAAAACTTCATCTCAGGTCCATCTCGATGTATTTGGAGACTTTTTTTTAAATAAAAAGGTGAAAATAACCTAAAATGTTGTCTGAAGTTTGTCTGCCTTTAAAAATGGGCACAGTCGTGATTTTGTGGAACCAAATAGCTTACAAAAATAAATTTCACAAGTTTTTTTATTCTTTTTTCTTTATAAATATTTAGTAATCCCTATTAAGTAATACACTGAAGATTTTTTAATTTGAATACTTTACAAAACAGTATAAAATCCAATGAGAAATGTTTCTAAATAAAATACTGGATTGGAAACTTAAAGAAAAAAGTTTAAGATACATGCACATAAGTTTTTCATACTTAAGTGCTAAACAATACAAGAAAATCTACCATCTTTAATATTTATTAAAATTAATTAAAAAACATGGAATGGCTTGTGAAGCTTTATTTCATATAACAGAAAACCTTTCAAGTCAAACTGCTAACAATTAGCAATGCCACCTCTGCTCAAAATACAAATTTTGCCCTTTTGCAACAAAAACAAAAGCCTGGTAAATTATTTACACAGCAGTTTTGTGTAATAAAAATTGTTAGCTGCACTTTTTCAAATGCTAACAAATTGAGAGATTTGTCACCATTACAAAAAGGAACAAGTGTTAAATTTTAAACGTGTGAAACACTTCACCTTCATTTTGCAAGATCTCTTTAAAACCTGAACTCGTTTTCTTAATTTTGTCATCATTACTGTTTGATTTTAAATACCCATTTCTTGCTTTATGACTTTAATGAAAAAACTTACAAAGACCTATAATAACAAAGAGATATTTTAATGCAGTACAATGTTATAGGAAATTGGAAAAAGACCTGGACAGTCATAGATATCCTCAGACAAATCAGTTCAATATCTCCTGTTCATCTTTTTAAACTTCTCATAATGGTAGTCGTCTGTGGCCTTCTCATTGGCTGGTCTCTTGCGATTAGGAGGCGTTTCTGTGGAAGACAAAGGTGCAATTTTTTAGGCTGTTGTTACACAAATGTGTGTTAAACTTGGATATTCTTACTTATTTTGTACTAAATGGCTTTCAAATTTAACAGAAAAATTAACTTCAGGTTTACAGGTGGTAAGTTGTCCACTTCAGCAAAAGAGCATGTGAAGTAAAAATAAGATGATTTGATTTAAAACTGAATTCATTTTAGTACACGGTGATTGTTCTGTCAACTCTTACTTTCTGGTTCAGGTTTCTCAGTGTCCCCCACTCGAAGTGGCCGAGCTTTGGGCTCCTCTCTGTGTCTTTTTGCTGGTGCATTCACATCTTCATGGTAGACTAAAATCAAACAGAAGAACAGGCATTTGACATTACACTACACTACTGGGCAGTGCATAATGTTGATCCTATATCCTTTGGCATACAGATTCTAAAAGGATATAAGTAACTGAGGATAATGTACTGTTACTTCAATAATCTGGCTCAGTCAGTTCAAGCCAAATCGCGTTACATTATTGCACTATCAATACAGGAATCTGGGATCAGTTAGGCTTGACATTGTGGGTCTTTATTAATTACAAAGAGAATGGGGCTTACAGCGATTGTGTTGAACATAGTTCACTGCTATGTTTGTAGGTACAAAGGAAGTGCTGCTGTCCTTCTTCTTGTTGCGTTGCTCCGCTATGAGCTTGGCCTTGGCGTCTTCGGTGCTAATGATGTTCTTTATCTTGGCACTGAGAGACAGTGAAAAGAGACAAGCATCTGCGTTCTTGTTCAAAAACCAAACCTTCAATGTCACTGCACTCTAGGCATTCTGTTCTAAAGTGTCCCAAGAACAGTAAGCCAACAGAGGTAGTACATTTTTGTTTAGAAGTATATCCCATTAATACAGATAGACGTACTTGCTTTGAGATGATAGGGTACTATAACTACAATATAAGCTAAATTATTGAAAAGAGAAATATTTAAATGAGCAAGACAATCACATTACAAATTGCTTGGATAAACAGTAGCTTTACTGTGAGAACACATTTGTTTGCATAAGTAAAAGGAAATTAAAGCCCGTTTTGGAGTACAATAATGTCCTAGAGTGCAATTTATTTTAAACACAACTTTTGTTTGTTCCGTTAACTGATCAATCACTCACTCAATTCCAAGGTCGACTTCCGGAATGCCACTCAGCATCTGGTTGGAAAGCATTTCTTCTGTTTTCTTGGCGGATGAGACTCGGATATTCTCTGGCAACTCATACAGAAGATCCTCTGCGTTCTTCGCCTTCACCTTTTGCTCCTCTGCCTCTACCAGTCCCTTCTTCTTCTTAAGTTCTGTCTCAATGTACTTCATCCTGAAAGCACATTGAAATGTTTAGAAAAGAACAGCATGAGAAAAAAACAGCTGGTCTCAGGACTGCCAGCTGTGCTGTAGCTCAAATTATAATCGACAAACTATAATAAGTACACTGTTCTCTTGAATATAGCTCTATTTGCTGCTGAAAATTCAACAGAGGGCAGATTACTGTATTTTGTCATTTCAGAAAAGTTCATTTGACTCTTTTCACAGTGTGGTCCCGGGGAATTTCTATAAAACATATCCCATACTTGTGACAGCTGATATCTGCATTCTTACTTTCTGTATCTTTTAGGAGGCCTTAAATCACAACAAAAGAAACTGAAAAGATACCTACATGTCAGCATCTTCATCACGACGATTTGTCTCTGCTGAGAATGACGTTCCCAGATTCAAATCGGTCTCGTCTTCCGTCCTAGGAGAAGAAAGAGTATTTATATTTTTAAAATTTATATCACTGCAGTTTAATTATGGTTTAACAGGTATTCAGGTTAATGATGTATACACCCAGATATATACAGATCCCCACATAATTTTACACTGCTGCATTAAAAAAAATAAAACACTCACATGTCTCTGTTCCTGTCTTTGATTTTCTTCATATCCACAACTCCCCCTGTCTTCAATTTAAAGGGATCATCCTAAAAAGATTAAAATACAGTACACACAGTAAGCATGCATGTACACATATTTTATATACATGTACATGTTTTGTTGTAGTACTACATACAACAGTTTTCCAGAAGGACAGACAAAAATAACCAAATGCAGAGCATCATTCAACAACTGAAAAACTGGATGTAAACTGATTGCAAGGTTAAACCTTTCAGAGACAAAATATACTGATTATTCAAAAGCACATTTGATGCAAGCTATTTCACTGTTCTACTATCATTATTACTTGTGGGGCTTCTTTTGGAAATGAAATAAGACTTTGGCAGATAAAACCTAAACATACAGCTTACGTACCTCGATCTCCGATTCAGGTGGCAATTTTTCACCCACCAGTAAGGCTGTAATGCTAAGGAAAACAGAAACGCAGTTAAATATCAATAATATACGCCAAAGAACTGGGAAAGCTTATTGATATTTCTGTGGACAAACCGAGGCTGAAGGAAAACTAGCTAGGACTAAAAAACAGAAATGTATCTTTTGAATACAGTGCATCGTTTTCAGTACCATTCCCAGAATATTTACCTCACGCCACTCTGTCTTTTTCTAAGACTCTGAATTTCCTTTGCTTCATCAAGTTTAGATCTGTAAGGGAAAAGAACCGACAGGTACCACATCAGTGTGTACCCTAAAAGAAACACCTTTCACCCCTAAGGCGTTCCAACAGATTCAGCTGTTTCTGACTGTTTTAAAGCTAAACGCTTCTGATCAAATATTTACCTGACTTCTGTTGTTGTCTCCTCGTCCTCCTCGTCGTCAGAATCATCTCTCTTCCTTCTAAAGTTTTTATTGGAAGGCATATTCGTCTTCTGTTTTGTTAAAAAAAATCAACAAAAAATACGTGCGTACATGTGTTCCCTGTTTTCACGATTCTACGACCCACAATTCCAGCGACTTCCAAGAGGATGTTACGTCACTATGTTTTGAAGCCGAAGTAATGACGGTGTGCCCTCTGAAGGGCAGGAAAAACAGAAAAATTAAACGAGTCGTCTTCGTTTCCCTAAATACATTTATTTTGCTTTGGAGCAAAAGTCTTTCAATCTAAAATCATATGGGTTTAAACTGAGTTTCTTTTTCTCAGCAAAGTATATCAACATTAAATACATTTGAAAGTACAGCATTAAAATTAATCAAAAAGCTTACTAAAATTGAGCTAATATCGTGTTTTATTGTAATGTTTTTTTATTGTAATGTTGAAACAATATAGATGCCACAACCTTCTTATTATTCTTAGTCAATAAATGTTTTTAATTGAGAGAAATGCCAACATAAACCGAAGCAGTGCTCTAGACCAGAGAACAGGTACAGTATGATAAAAATCCCTGCATGGGTATCTCTCACATAGAAGGGTTGGTGTGAGAAAAATAAACCTTTTGCAAATTTAGTTTAGGTTACGGAAGTGTTTTGGAAAGCTAATAAAATCTAATTCAAGACACAACGTCACTCTCATTCAAATTATTGTACGACTTATTTAGAGCACTACCAGAGTTGTATAGAATAACTGACCCAACTGTGGTCTCTTGCAAACAAACAAAGCATGCTGCAATTACCAAAAGAGTTTTATGAACGTCTCGAGTGAAAACATGTTTGCACTACGGATATTCTTGATCAGCAAAGAAACCAGAAAATATCCACAGTCCTCGGCAATAGTCAACATCACTGTCACGCAGCGCAAACAAATCTGACGCTGAGGCACGCTGTAGCGATTCAGAGAGCAGTGTAGCATCTCGGCTCCTTAGGTTTCTTTATTCATCTTTTTTTTCCAAATGTTTTAATGTTTCCGAAGCTCGTTTTCACACTGCTGGCTGCAGGTAAATATACATTTCTTAGGTGCTGAACTGTCAAGTATGTCAGTGTCTTTTAATTTGCTGTATATGCGTTTTTCCAAAGCGTTTGGTCTGGTGTAGGAAAGGCCTGTAAATTATAGTGTAATGAGAGCCTATAGCAGGAAGCTGAGTGTTGTCGGAGCTATGTGTGGCTTTTAGACCTGCTCACTGACTAATGTGCAATACGCACAACGCTTTTGTTTTTGTTTTTGTTTTTATCTCGCGTGTAAAGTGCATTTCCTTCATGCATGGAAAATGTACAGTCATCGTGTCAGAATTGAAAATGCACAAGTGCATAATATGGCGATAAACATACTGTTCTGAAGGCAACATTTTTTATGATTTAAACATATTTAGTGAGACGTAGAGAGTAGCCCTTTTTCTAAGGAATCCTTTATGTTTAATATTTAACATTTGTATGTGTTTTTTTTAAAGAATTGTCATTGGTACAGTAGGAAATCATCACAGTCGTGAAAAGGACTCTTGGATCAATGCTTTCGTGACATATAATGGCAAGTCGTTCACTTGACGGATTAACATGTAACCGTTCAGTTCTTTGATGTGTGGGTTCTGAGCATTGTTATGTGTTGGTAGTCTTATGAGATTTGCGTAAAATCCTCGGCATTTTTTCACACTCGGCTTCCATTATGACTGCCTAAGGATGACTAAGGCTTTATTTTTGCAAAGAAATATAACCGCATTTAACACGGCCAATATTCTTAACTTCTATTTCTGTGTAATTTGACGTGGAATTTACAGTATCACAATGTCCAAAAGGTATTGCCAGTTAAATACATGTGTGGAGATGCCTTTAGCTACTTTAAAATAATGAGTGATGATGATGACTTAATGGACTGAGGGCTTGTCGAATCATTTTATATCATTAGTAAGACTGAAAGGGTGTTATTGATATTACTAGTGTTTGAAATCTAGAAGGGAAGAAGTCCTCGTTTATTTCATTGTGCTAAATATATTAACGATACTGACGAACTGGTGTAATACAGTAATCATTCATGTTATGCTCATCCCTTAAAGTGTCAATAACTTAGAAACCTGTTATTATGATGTCGTCTTCATGGGCTCGGTAAACATTCTTTGTAAACTTTGGTAATGATTAATCAGTAGTAACAGACACAAGATTTGTTTACAGTCTCCGATCTGTCACCATCAAAATTAAATAAAATTTCATGTGACAGCTGTCTGATAAAAATCCCTCTAGGGCTGTTCTTACTTGGTTCTGGGCTGTTTGGACTGTCTGAGCTGACGTTTTAGCGATATTTAAGTTGGTCTAATTGTTTGTGAAGGATGAACTAACTA